TGAACACGTTGATACCAAACAACCTTTTATAGCATCCCGGTTCTGGTAAACCTGTCTTGCCCCCTGGGTACATGGTGTCTACATGCTCGGGTGTGCTTGTGTGGAGATGCCTTTTATGTTGAATGTTTATTTTGCTTGGTACGTAACATAATGTATTGCCTACAGATTTATATAATGTACAGTGATACAATTTCTAAAAAAAAAAGAATGGGAAAGATCAATACAATTTTTTGAGTCGGCCCCTTTTTGGCGGGTCGGTCGGGTGAGGGCAAACAAATAATATTTTTATTATGGCCCAAGTTAGCAGGAGTAGGGAAGCATCACCCGAGCATTTTTTTGCCATGTGTCCTTGGTTGCACTGTGTGGAAATTCTGTCCAGGCACACCGACGTGTAGCGAATTCCATGTACCTCGAAATCTGTGTTCCTAAAATGTTTTTGGCAATCTGCCTGAACTGACTGAGGTACATAGTCAGGGGTCGAAGTTAGATTTTTATTATGGTATCCATTCGGGATACCAGGTATTGAAATCTGGTATCCCCCCCAAAGATCTTGTATACCATTTTTTTTATAGTAATTTCAACAATGTTGGTATCCAAAATCTTGAATTATGCAATATTTAATAGCATTTGAAAATTATTAATATGTAATGTAATTATTATATAAAAACATGAAAACAGATTCACAGATATGCATAGCTCTAGTACTATAGCCCGCATACAGTTGCCGCAGGCCTTGTGTTGCGTGCGGCAACTGTACGCGGGCTATAGTACTAGAGCTAAGATATGCACAGACAAGTAGACTGCAGACGTATTGTCTAGTTCGCTTGATACAATGTATACACATCACATTTATGATCAACATCGGCCACTCCGCCACGCTTACGCTTGCTTGCGCTTGCAAATATGCTATGCCTGCTGTATAACGTAGTAATTCTAGTGGGGCATAGCAATAAGGGAGCCTGAGCCCGCTCAGATCGCGCTCACTCGCTCAGATGCGCTGCCGTATAAAGTTGATAACTCAACAACCACTATCCCGATTTTGATGATTTTTATTTTACTATCCCGGCGGGACACCAAGCATTGAAATCTGGTATCCAACACAAGAATCTACTATCTCGCGGATATCGGGATACCGCTAATTTCGACCCCTGATAGTAGGTGAAGCCTAAGTGATTGTGTTTCTTGCTTCCGTGTAACTGTTGCAGCTGCAACCAGACAAACAGCCGCAGCATAGCAAGCAACATTACAAAGATGTCTGATCTTTTTTTTAAGACGTCTGTTCCTAAGATGGATGTTGAGAGTAATCATGGTTTATGTATATTGTTGCAGCTGCAATGCAACAAGTGGAAGTTACATAGCAAGCAACATTGGCAAGATTTCTAATTTTTCACCGATGTCCGTACTTGAGATGGATGTTAGGAGTGATCATGACTCATGTATGTGCGAATATTATTGCAGTTGAAACGCAACAAGCAGTCACTGAAGGATGGTGTACCTGACCTGATGGTGATTACACTGTCCAGCATCAGACATGTCGTGAAGCATCACGGACTACAGTCACTGCAGCTTCACAATGCTCTCACTCTCCTGCGCATGACTCTGTATGAGGTTAGTAGCAATTCCTTATAGATGCCACCCAAAGTGTGTTTAACCTCATCCACGTTACTATTAAACGTTGGAAAAAGTGTTTAACTCATCAACATTACTATTAAGTGTTGAATTTAACGAGATCTTTTGGTGTTGTCACATTTATTCTCGTGGTGCAGCTGTCACCTAGAATGTGCGAGGTGGTTGTAACATTTTATATATCCTGTGGCGAGCATTGGAAAGGATAAACAAAGGAGCACTTAGAAATAGTGCAGCACCTTATGAGTGGTAAGCGAAACACTGGCGGGGCGTGACCAGGCATTGTTGAACTATACCCCAAGTTTCCAGGTTTCTTAGCATCCATTAACTTTCAATAAAGCATGTGGGAAGGCACTGCACCAGTTCAGTTTCACTCGCCGTGTTTGCATTCGAATGATTGTCATTGGTTAGATAACATACTTACAAACCATGCTGCACATTCTAGGTCGTCTCTCCTCTAAAGGAGTAGACAGGCAGGTAAATTGGATGTCTTATTGCTATGTAAATTCTCTGTACAACAGTTGAGGTAATATGTGTTGTTACACTTCATAAATTGTAGTCAAATCTGGGAATGAAATTCTTGATTTTCTAGGTTTTTATTGTGTCGTGCTCTTTTGTTATTATGCACTAGTGAGAGTATGCATTTTGAGCTCGGTATATTACGAATTAGCAAGGACGTCTCCGGAATCAATTCTTGAATGTTACAGCTTGGACAATCACTGGAGCTGGTCTATGGAGACAACTACCTTCATGAGACTGTTACGTTGGACACTAGTGGCGGTGAACTGCCCCTTGTTCGTAAAGCTAGGAGCCTGCTGGAAGTTGTGGTAAGTTGTGCATGTTCTATCTTATGAACTGTGTGTAGAGATTGTCAGTTGTCATGTGATTTGTTTGCTTATATGCACAATATAGCATGCAGTTTCCAAGTGGCAGTGGAAAAATTGACCTAAAATCTAAAATCTGCCTAATTAGCAATTCATACCAATTTTAACTGCCAATGTAGCCATTTACGCGTCACACGCCAAAATATCAACTCGGCGGCACATTGTTACTAAGCATCATTATTAGAACGTTGTATCACAGTGCTGATTGGCTGTAGCTGCCTGTCAATCATCCCAGATGAACAGGTCAATATCCACTGGGTGATTTTGTTATTGGTGAAGTGAATTAAAGCTCTGCAATGTGCATCAGCTCAGATCGGCTGCCATTAGTTAGGAATATGAAAAAAGGCTCCAATAGATGGTGCTAGTAGTCACGCTTAGTGTTGGCAAAGAGCTTAAAATGATTCTAAGCTCTTTGGTGTTGGGGCTGATGGGTTTGTGATAGCATGGCATTGTGGCTGTACCGTGCGTGTTACATGTGTCTCGATAAGGTGCATGGCCGACCCAGGCGCGGCGGGTGTCAAAATAGGTCCCTTGATATCTTACTGCTGTAAAACATAAGTAGTAATTGCCCAAGTATAGTACCCAATAATAGTTCAGTCACATATCCACGAATCGTCTTATTTTATAACTTTTATTATAGAGTCATAAAACAATTTATAATACTAAACAGTGTACATTTTATAGATATATGTAAGAATTTATCAGTGTAAAATTACATTATCACAATATTGACAGGTAGTACTGACTAATCATTTACACATCAAGTATATAACAAACGTGTCCTATATATATCACGCCATGCAATGTAAATGATTAAAATATCGATAATACAGTGAATACACAATAATTTTCACTGTGAAATTTTTTACAAAATACCATACCTCATGCAATGAAGCCTTGGTGAAAAAAGCGGATAGTATTTCATAAATAATTGTTTATACCAAGACTTAGTAGAAACCTATACTATTTATTAACTGATTTGGATTGTTTCTGTGTGTGCTATAAACCACTTTTATTCATATATAGAACAAATTTTTCTAAAAGAGAAAGTTCCAATAATCCAGTTAGTATACGTTCAATGTATTATTTCCTTAGCAAGTCTCATGGACAGTAATATAATCGTGAGCCTCTTCCACAATGAAAGCCTTTACAACTCCCCGTTCCTTTCTCATATTGAATGATATTTCTATCAGGAACCTACGTGGATGTACATTGAATGTGCGCAGGGTTCGTGGCAATATTTTAATAGCAGAAAAACGCAGAACATTTTTCGCGTGGCCTTGGCATATCGGGTCTGTGTGTGTGTGTGCGTGTGTGTGTGTGTGTGTGCGCGGGCGCGCGCGCGTGTGTGTGTGTGTGTGTGTGTGTGTGTGTGTGTGTGTGCGCGGGCGCGCGCGCGTGTGTGTGTGTGTGTGTGTGTGTATGTGTCCGTGCGTGCGT